AAAAAAAAAAAAAAAAAGAATGCAGGGGCTTGGCTGGGCTCCGTGGTTCACACATGTAATCTGAGCACTCTGGGAGGCGGAGGTGGGTGGATTGCTTGAGCTCAGGAGTTCAAGACCAGCCTGATTAAGAGTGGGAACCTGTCTCTACTAAAAATATACCAAAAATACCTGGGCATGTGGCTGGCATCTGTAGTCCCAGTTTCTTGGGAGGCTGATGCAAGAGGATCGCTTGAGCCCAAGACCGGAGGTTGTTGTGAGCTATGATGCCACGACACCCTACCCACAGTGACAGAGTGGGACTCTGTCTCAAAAAAAAAAGAAAGAAAAAGATTATTGAGGCTTGAAGAAGTTTGATAATTTGCCCAAAGACTCACTGGTGGAAAGGGAGGGAGCCAAGATTAAAACCATCCCTGAGAGCTGATTGCACAGCCCCATCCTTAATCAGATGCTGTGCCACCTCCTGCATTATTTGTTGGAGTGTCAGGTGCTCGATGAGATGGAATAATAGGAGATGGAGCTGAAAATGTGGGCTGGGTCAGAACATGGGGCGTGCTGGCTATTTGTCCTTCAGTGAGACACTTGACGAGGGTGTGTTCCTGTCATGCAGTGTCCTCTGCCCCTGTGAGCAGTTCTAGTGGGTTCTGTCCTTGCAAGTGACATTCACCACCCTGGACACTTGCCTGACTGTGCCTACTCTACTTTCAGCCCTCTTGCCCCTCTCAAGGGTCTGTGCCTGTCTTCCTGCAGAGCTTGCAGGAGGAAGGCACTCAGTTGTGACAACCAAAAGTGTCTCCAAATATTTCTAAATGTCCCCTGGGAACAGAATCACCACCACCATCACCACCACCACCACCACCCCCAAGTGGGAAACTAATGGTAATAGCACAGGCTCTCAAGCTAGCAGGGTATGGGATTAAACTCTTGGTCTGTCACTTATGGTCTTAGAAGGTACTGCTGATGTCTCAGACATCATGGAATCCCCTGTGGCCGGGCCAGTTACCTCACTTTCCTACACCTCAGTTTCCACTGGTGCAAAATGAGAATAATGATGGGAGCTGCCTGACAGCCTCAGCTGTGGGAGATAACAGTGCAAAATGCTTAGGGGTTTTCAGGCACAGAGAAAATGTTACATGAATGTGTGATTTTGCCCATCAGCAGACAATGGGCACAGGCTCTGAATACTCTTTATTTCTCTCAAAGTGCTGAAGTCCCGGCTCGGCGCCTGTGGCTCAAGCGGCTAAGGCGGCAGCCACATACACCTAAGGTGGCAGGTTCGAATCCCCAGCCCGGGCCCACCAAACAACAATGATGGCTGCAACCAAAAAATGGCCAGGCATTGTGGCGGGCACCTGTGGTCCCAGCTACTTGGGAGGCTGAGGCAGGAGACTCGCTTGAGCCCAGGAGTTGGAGGTTGCTGTGAGCGTGATGCCATGGTACTCTACCCAGGGGGACAGCTTGAGGCTCCGTCTCAAAAAAAAAAAAAAAAAAAAAGTGCTGAAGTCCCTTTTTCTCCTTTCATTCAGGAGTGAGGCTTTGGGCAAACAGTGATCCTTGCATAGTCTCAAATTAGGCTCTTCTGGAAGCTAAAGGGACATGGAGGCAGGAAAAGGAAAATACCGGGTATCTCCCTGCTCACTGCAGTAA